TCCTGCATTCAACACTAGGAAAATAAAGTCTTGTTATTCTACCAGTTTTATTGTTCAACCATTGTTGGTTCCACTTTTGCATAGCGTTGTCATAAATATAATTTTCAAGACTGTTACGTGAGAGAGGGATGCGAGTGTATTCCAAATCAGTGTCCTTTGCAGCTGACTTAGCCATAAAGTCGGCTTATTCATTTCTAAGTATGCTAGTATGGCCAGGAAAATATATAAAAGTTATCTTATTTACAAGATTATTAATATGGTGCTGGATATGTGCGATTTTATTGCTATTGCAATTGGGATTTATTAGAGCTTTTAGGACAGACTGAGAATCACAGTAAATATTGATAGAGTTTTGTTTAGTAGTAAAGTGGTTCACTGAACAGCTTGGTATTCAGCATCTTCTTCAGTTTGATAGATGGAGGTATGTGGGAAGTATCTGTACCTTCTAACATATTTTTGGCAAAATATGTCAGTTTGGAGGAAGAAAGAGATACTTGAGCCAATATGAAGGGAACTTTTAGACTCATCTGTGTAAATATTAATGTCTGCATGGTTATCCATGGAGAAAGCAGATGACACCAAATATACCCTACGTGCAATAAATGTGACCATCACCTTGTTTACAGGGTGATGATCACATTTATTAGGGTAATTGCAACGTGGTAGAATATGAACAGCCGTAGATAGGAGTAGAGACTGTTGTTGAGCCTTGATGCTTGTAGTTTTGACGTACAGCAGTAGTTTAGAACCTTTTCTTACAATACATAGTGCAAAAGAAGAAGCTCTTCTAGTATCAGAGGCATTAGTAGAAACAGTTCTGCAGAACTTCGAAATTCTGATGGCCAACTGTCTTTGGAGAGAGAGTAATTTACTTGCTACTGAATTTTTACTAGTTACATGATCCCAGCTAGAGACAGCATAAAGTAGCATTGGTTGTATTGCCCCATTATATAGAGTTTTACAAGCTTTATGATTTATTCCTCAGGTGCACCCAGCATATTTTAGCAGCATGTAGTTTATTTTCTTGGCCTTATCCAAGATGTAATTAATATTAAAATTAAAATTAATACAAAATGAATATTAATGACGTTGATTAATGATGATGATGATGATAATAATAATAATAATAAAATTGTTAATAATTAAAAAATAAAGTTCTTAAAATATTTAATTGTTCATTCGAATTCATTAAATTTTTATATTTTTAAATTCGTTCACATAAAGTCTTTTATAAATAATAGTACATATTAATTAACTAATTAATAGTTATATATTTTAAACCTAAGGCTTTTAGGGTTTCATAAAAAAATTATTCTATAAAATCATGCCTAAATATTAAATAAGATAGTGAAGGGAAGGGAGGATCAAAGAAAATATTACGGTTTCTTGCACAGGGATGGGTGGGGTCTAGAATGGCCAAAATCGCCCTTACGTAATTTATGGACGGCTCCTTAAATAAGGATCGATTTACCTGAAAGCCTTTCTGGAAGGCATCTTCTCCTTGGCAGAACGCCTGTATGTTTCATTGGTTTATATCATCATGGGTTTAGAGTCATGATATAAGGCAATGAAATTGAATTTATTGTTTACTTTTTCAATTAAACACTATAATTGTCGTGGAAATTATGGTTTACAGCATAAGATAAAGGTAGAAAAGCTACAGCAGGTTGTATAGTACAAGACGTGTGTTATCACTGGTATGTTTTCTCCATTTTAACAACAATTTCGACATAAATAAACTTATTAATTAAGGAATATTATATGTTAGCAACCCACCTGGTAAATTTATGGCAGTAACAAAAGCAATTCTCTGAGTACAGTATGAATATAATTAAAAGCTTTCAAAATTTATTTATTTATTTATTGTGGTGACTGGTTTGTCACGAAAGTAAATGAAAATTTTATTAAATTTTTAATTATTGTTTTTGAAAATTTGTTTATATCGAATTTAATTACGTGACAAGATTAACAATTTTCTCATTGAAAGAGTTTTCTATTGTGTTGAAATTTAATTAAGGAAAATTTTATTAGCGTGTTTAAAATATGCTTGGTACACAAATTTATTTAATCAATAACAGCGTACAATGCAAGATTTCTGGGTGATTTTTTTTAAATAAAGAGAATGAAAATAAGGCTACTTTTGTACTGTACACAGAATAGGCTGATTTTCGACGCAATATTTTAATTTCCCATAAGATTTTCGTTTAATAACAATAGTATATTCATATGTTTTTAAGAAATAGTAAAAAACTTGAATCTATGCTTTATCACAATGTTATCTTATATTATCAAGAAATATACACAAATGATACCCTACAAAAACATTGCAACGGAAAGGATTGGATTGGATGGGATGGGAGAAAGTAACACATGGGCGATCTATCTGGAAAGACTTTCAAGAGATCTTGCCTTGTTACCGAGTGGATAAAACCACTGAACGTTGAATCTGAGCCTCACAAAATGGCCTATGTTGATTTTTTCGGGTCTTCCTCGTGTTTCTAACACCTAAATATGTGCAAGTTTTCTGTAGAAAGTCTTCTCGGGAGGCAATCTCCTTACCACATCACTCACGTGTTATTACCTTATTCAACCAAACCATAATTTACGTCAACTTTACATTAAGATTTTTATAAATTATACTTTTTATACATGAATTTTTCTTGTTACCTGTATATGATAATGCATATAACGAAATACTGCCATATTTATGCAATATAATTTATTTTTAGTATTAAATTGGGTAATACTCGATTAACGTCAATTGTTAAAAGTAATTCCACAGGAATTCATGCTAACAAGAACACGCTACTATATTTAATTCGAAATTAAGATAAGATAAATTTTTAAAAAGTTATCTCTAAAAATCACGTGTTAAACAAATCCTTACGTAAATGTCCTTCGGTGACATTGTCTTTATCTAGAATACAATTGGCTAAAACACTGGGTGCTGGAGTTCTTGTAAACATGTACCGTCCGACTGTGAAAAGAAGAATTTTTCTATGACAAAAGTACTTTATTGACAAAGAATTTCGATTGTAATTGAAAGAAATTTTGTAAAATTTTCGGCAAATTTTTCTGTATTTAAAAGCAACCCCATAAGAAAAAGACACGTGATTTATTCGAATGATTCAAAAATTATTAGAGATATTTCTCTTTATTACGTAAGATATTACAAGATAAAGATGATTTAATTTACTGTCACTTCGTATCTCTTGTTTTTCTTCTCTTGCATGACAAACTAGGTTGTAAAGTCCATTTAAAATATGATTCATAAAAATCTTTTTATCTAAATAAAATAATTTGTAATTTTTCATTTTTTAAGCTTGAAGTAGGCCTATAATTAGACTCGCCAGATGAGAAACATCGAATGAAAAATAAACTTTTCTGGAATAAAGGACATTACCAATACATTTGAATAAGTTTAAAGTAAAAATTAATAATTTAAAGGAATTAATTTTTTATTATAAAAAAAACTCTAAAAATTCACATATTTCTGATTATCTTTGACAGTAATACTTGGGGTCCACCAGTGGCCAAGTGGTTCCCTTTCCCTGAATACTGGTAGTTTGGTCGTGGGCCAGGACTGGCTGGCCACATGAGGTGTTTCGGGTATTCTTCACATCTGTAACGCCTGAATAGGGGACAGTTACCCTTAAAAAGGCTTCCTGTACACCCACTAGGCAGATCGCTCAAGTGTTGCGTTGCCACAGCTTAACAACTGAGTAATTTTTTGATGTTTTGTAATGATGGATCATAATGGAGGACATTCTCCTTTTGGTAATGCTGTACATCTGGTAACTTGATTATCTGATAAGTCTAATTGAAATATAAAGGAAGCGTTATTGTCTCTGCAAATAATGAGCTGAAGTCCGTGGATGCCACATTAGTAGTCCTAAAAGTAGTATCTTATTTTCAGAATATTTAAAATTTCTTCTGTTTATCCATTCGACGGGTATAATGGTTTATTGCGTAGCTTTCGGTTGTAACAGTAACAAAGAAAACTGAGAAGTAAAAACCACAATGTATTCAAAAGTAACATAAGGTGTTTAGTGTATAGTAAATCATTCACGAGTAAAATTATGCTTAAAATTCATTAAAAAAAAAAAAAGTTGATATTTAGTAAATGAAGATATAAAATTCAAATTTCTAAAGTATAAAAGAGTATATTGTGCTGACATTAATTTATTTATTATACATTGCTGAGTGAAGAAAATTTCATTTGTATTCAGCACTTAAAACCTGTTTTAAATAGAGAAAAATTCAAGTATTGAAAATCACATCTTGTACAAGTTGTGACTCATATCACTTTTTTCATCATAAATAATAATACAATGAAAATAAGAAGATACATTAAACATTAATTATCTTTAACTCTATATTTACATGAGATTACTTATGTTAAATATATCGTTTAGTCAAAGGATTGAAATGTTTGTAATTTCCAATTTAGAGAAAAACCAGTGGTCAAGTGGATAAACTACTACAAACACTAATAGATTGTCAAGGGTTCACTTCTAATAGGTGTGTCATGTGAAGTTTTCTGGTTTTCTTCACGTGTATATCACTCAAGTAGGGACAGTTTCCCGTAGAAAGTCTTTCTGGGAGGCATTCCCTCTAAGTAGATTGCTCACGTGTTGTATTGTTGTATTTCATGAAACCAAACCTATTTAAGGAGGACATTTACAAGTGTCTAATGATTCAAACACGTTTTCTGTTACATTTAATATTAAAAAAAATGAATTTAACAATCAAAATTTAATTCTAAATATCAACCGAGGTTTGTTTAAACATCAAAACACCATTTCAGATAAGATAACGTCTAAATATAATTAATTATTTTATTATATAAATATTGTATTGTTAAGGAAGAACAATTCATATTTAAACAGTTGTAAATATTCTACAATTATGAAATATGGAAATTGCGATAAAGAATGAATTTTTATATTTTGCGCGAATCGAAAAATCTTCTATTTGTTGTACACTTGTGTACGATGGGTACATCAAAGAACGTAGATAAAGGATGGGCCTGGGTCATCGCCTTCGCTGCCTTTTGGACTATGTTAACGGTGATATCTATGCATAGAGCTTCTGGGGTTTTCTATACAGCTCTCATGAAAACTTATGGAATTTCTAGAGAACAAGCAGCTTGGCCTTTTTTCCTCAGGAAACCTATTGCCTTTTTCATGGGTTTGTATTAATTTACACTATTTAAATGCTTAAAATTGTTTTACATCTACAGAATTTATTTTAAATTTTTTTCTAAATTTCTAAATTAATTATTATATTTACATAATTTTCGTAAATATTATAGAAATAATTAAAAGAAAAAACATTAAATTTAAATATAATTCAAACAATTTGTTATTTCGTAGATCGAAGACAAATTGTTTTATTAATTAATGGTAAAGAGCATCTACGATGATTTCAATGCAAAATAGTAATTTATATTACAATAAATTTGGTAATTTTTTCAGGTACTTTAGTTGGAGTTCTGATCTCATCCGTTTCCATCAAGACTTTAATTTTATTTGGAGTTACTGTTGGGACAATTGGAATGGCCACTCTATACTTCGTTAATGACATTCTATCATTAATATTAATATTCGGATTATTTCACGGTAAGGATTTATATGAGATTTTGATTAAATTATTCGTGAAATTTTTAAAATTTTATATTATATAATTGATCTACAATGGCTCTTATCTATAGTATCAGATAAGCATATGAGATATCTCTTACACAATTAATCCTATAATAACCGAAGCTTAAAATTTATAGCAAGGATTGTTAAAAGTTAACTCAGAAAAAGTATTTCTTTTGTTTATTTATTTTAAATTAATTCATTCCTCGTTACTCAGCGCCATGCTTTACTTGTAAAAGAATACCCAAAGATTAATAGAACTCATATGGTTCCAGACTTATGTGACACTCTACGTATGTATAAGCAATGCCGATCAAACAGATTTTGGTGCCCTACGCATATTTCAATCTTGGCAATCTTCCATTCTACATGCGAAAGATCTAGGTGTTTACATAATATGTCTAATTAAATTAATTGATAAATATTTTTCTTTAACTAAATTTTAAATTTTTGCTACACTCTCTACACACTCGCTTTTGGTGGCACTGTATTTAACATTATTGCGATTACACTTATAATAATGTTATTGTGATTATTGCGTATGTTCTGAAGAAAATTCATTTGTTTTCAGGTATTGGTTCAGGCCTTGTCAGAATGTGTAACGTCATATCCATTAATAATTATTTTAGTAAGTATCGTACTGTTGCTTTAGGAATCATGTTAGCAGGAATTTCTACAGGTGCTTTCATTTTTCCACCCCTTATTGAACTATGTATCGACGAATATGGACTTCGTGGCACATTCCTCATTTTGACAGGAGTAATCCTTCAAGGATTCATCGGAGCTCTTTTATATCGCAATCTTCCAAAGAAAGAAGAACCGAAGCCTGAAGTAAATGCAAAGAGATCCAGTGTTACAGAATTCATAAGAAGAAGATCCTTTGATACAGCCATTACAATTTTAGAAAATAATTCACCTAATAGAAAAGAAAATTCAAAAATTATCAAACCTATAGAAGAAGCTAACAGTAAAGAAAATATATTTTATAAGGCCATCAAGTCCTTAATGTTTATCTTCAGTATCCCTATGTATCACGTTATATGGATCTCGTACGCTATATTCGATATCAGTTTTTCGACTTTTATTACTATTATTGTGGATCACGGTATGGATTGTGGAATCGATGAACACCAAGCAGTCTTCTTCCTCTCTTCTTTATCCATTGCGGAGTTATGTGGACGATTAGGAGGAGGATGGATTGTTGATCTCAATGTTCTTAGCAGGAAGAATTTTGTCAGAATTGGGTTTTTATTAATGGCTGTTATGTTTGTAATTATACCTTTATTAAAAAATTTCATTGTATTGCTTGCCATTACTGCTGCTGTTGGAATTTTAGGAAGTTGCATTCTAATTAATGGCACTACTCTGTATACAGAATATTTAGGTTTAGAAAGGTTACCCTTGGCTGCTGGATCTGGATCTACAATTAGTGGTTTGATAGGATTGGCTACACCGAAAATTATTGGTAAGTATTTTTTATATATAAAGTATAGTAAAATAATTCGTCTGTAGTTTTAATACTTGACCTCTGGAATTCTGTTGTTTGTTATTCTTGTTAATGTCAGATTAAAAATGTCCGAAAACTTAAACAGATAGTACTTTGCTATAATGTAAGACTGGACTTTTATATAATGTTTCCAAGTTTTTCTGTAGCTAAATCTTGCTTCAGTATTTTAATTTTACATTTATTCTGTCTTCGAGATAAAGACAAAAGCCGTGTTACTCGCATGTATATTCTTTCATCAGAAAATCACTTAACTCATTTATGATGAAGATTAATTGAAAACCTGCAAAAGCGCTAACAAACAGATTTCTTTTTTACATAAACTCAACATTTATAATGATTTATGTGCGCATATTATTTGAAGGATTCAAGTGTAAACTTTATATTCAAACCCTTCAAAGGAACTTCGAAAGGTACCGTACATAACATTAACATTGTGTGTTGTGTACTGTACGTATTTAAATATAAAAAGATAAAAAGAATGTAAGGAATTATATCTGGAATCAAATAATATCTGTAAGGTAACTAGCAACACATCTTAACCTTAAAATAGGAGTTGCGGGTTCGAATCCTGCTCGGACACGAGTGTATTCTTTCAGAATATTCTAAACTATTTATTAAATATTAATTTATTTTAATTATAAAATGTAAAAAGAGATGACGCCAAGCTTCTACCTCTAGTAACAAATGAATAATGTAGCCGAAAAATATCGTAATGCATTACTTTGTTTTCTATTCTCTGACTGTAGACTATAGTCGCTTACTTTATGACTCACCATTACGATTAGGATTAATTTTTCATTGTGTGAGGGTTTGTGTTATTAATTCCTTTAATATTATAAAGTTTATTTATAAGAATAAAATCATAATTTATTTATTTAAAGCTTTTTTGATGATAGTTTTCATAACATATAAACCAAGCATACTGAACTTCTTTTTTCTTATATTTATTCTCCTTTTGATATATTGTTTTGTTTCTTAAAGTCATAATATATTGATCTCTCCATCTCACTCTTACTATTCACATAGTGTACTTGGCTTGCTTGTTTTCATTCCCTCAGCATGTTGCTCACTTTACACAGATAACTCTAACATTTCTAATTTTTATGATTATATTTTTTCAGGTTATTTCAGAGATTCAACAAATAGCTACAACACTCTCTTCTACAAATTTTCTGGTTTTCTTTTCCTTTCATCATTTTTATGGATTGCAGAACCAATTTTTGTGAAGCTCCATCGTTCTAATTCAACAGTTCCAGAAACGTTGGCAAACGAAAATGAAAACGTAACCAATAGGTAACTGCAATATTTGATGCATATATACGGTCGTCATTTTGTATTTACCTTGTGCAACATTTCTAAAAACTTACTTAAATGGTTGCGAATGTCACATGAAATAAATAAATGAACTTTTCTGTTTCTACTTAATTTTTACGTGTAAAGTTATATTGTGTTTTATTAAAATAAAACCGTGTAAAATGGAAATTACGTTAAACCTACTGACTTAAAAACGTTCAATTTTCTAAAAAAATAAATCAACGTTAAATTGATGTAAATTTTTCAACTGTCTGTTCTTTGGGCGAGCCCATTACGGGTTCGGACAGGTTTACAATTAGACCAAATACACTGGACGGATCACCCCCAAAAATTTCTTACGTTTTTCGGTTTATTTAAATTAGATCCTGGACTTATCAGAGGATAGTTAAGAAACCATAAAAATTGAAGGATATTTAACATTGTTTCAATAAGCTTTGGCATAAAACAAATAAGTATAAAACGAAAACAAAATTGTGACAAGGGACTATTGTATAGTTTAACGTATATAAAATTAAATATTCTATATATATGTAGGATCGAAACCTGTACGTAATGTACTGTACATATTCTACTTCGTATGTGTTTGAAAAAACAAGATTTAAGTTTAAATTAGGGGCTTTAAATTAGATATTTTCCTTAACCACTGAGCAGTGAGCGAGCACATTGTTCAGATAGACGTGCTTAAACATATTCAAAATTCTATCCAAAATTTATAGTATTAAAATCAGTATAAAGATATACTGAAAAGAATTCTGTCACCTACTGACCCAGTTTTTTTTTATAATAGAATAGGGAATAGGGCATCCCACTCCAAATACAAATCCCATGAAATTGTGGAAGTCTACCGCCTCAGATTTTCTTCAAAATTTAATACTGAACAATTCTAGATCACGCCTACATTCTATTTTTATAACTATTTTAAAATCTTATAAAATTGTTATTGGTACAAATGAATCCACTTACTTATTTTCTGGCATATGAAAAATTTACCGTATTTTACGGTATTTAAGAGGCGACTTTTGTTAAGAAAAGGTTTATTTTATATGATGTTTAACATTTGAATAACGTTCTTTATCCAACTTTATTGTTTTCTGCTTGATTATTTTGAATTTTGACAATAAGCGGTTCTAGCAACCATAGAATACATGCAAACAGGCAAGCTCCTCCAAAATAATAGAACATGGTGGTATAACTTCCTTTCGTATCTCTAAAATAACCTAAATAAATGGAGAATTAATTAAACACCATAAGAAGTTTATTTCTGAACAGACTTATATATATTATATATTTGAACTTCATTATTTTATTCTGTATGCTGTACCGACGAGCTAGAATATACTACATAAAGTAGTTGAAGCGACGTCGTGTTTGAGAAAAACTAAAAAACACGTCCGCCATTTTTATTTTAGTCAAGAGGGTGGTATTTGTGTTGTGTAAAAGTGATAGTACCAGTTGTTGTCACTAAGAGCGCTGTAACCATGGTCACAGCCACTGTCTGTAGTATATTCTAGCACGTTGATGCTGTACTCTTTACGTTCTATAATCTCGTTTTTCTAGAATGAGAGTCATTTCTAGAATGCAAATTCTAGAATTCTAGAATTGCAGACATATGTATTCCCACATTGCCCACATATGTATTCCCGCCCTTCCTTCGTTAATCTATTGAACGATGCTCAGAGGTATACTTTGAGGCACCCGTCATTGAAGTGCCGTTGGTGCAACCTGATTTAAAATCAATGAATAAGGTTTAACGATCTCTCAAAAGACCTTTCTGACGTGTTGGAGCATTGTTTCAAGATAAGACTAACAGAAAGACTGAATATGTAGTCTCGTGTTTTGCGTCAGTCTTATTTAAAGGATTGAAAGCCAATTAACTAAAGAAAAGTATAGGCACTAGTACATAATTAATACATTAAGAAAATTAAAGATCGAATTACGAATATTGATTTTTTTAAATGCTGTTTTTACGTAAGGTAAGTCAAGGGAAGATGCCAGTTCGGGAAGATATTACTATACTAGTAACTTATTCATCAGTCAATGCAACTTATTTGTAATAATTGCTGCTTACGTGAGTAGTGTAAGACAAAAGTTTCTTTTGGTTTATTACTTTTGGTATATTCACCAGCAACAATGAGCATAAATAAATTATGCTCATTGTTACTGGTGAATAGACATGTTATAATGTTTTTTTTCCTGATATTTATACACATTGAGAACTATGTGGCTTGGCTAACAAAGAAAGTGTGCAGCCGTATTTGAGGAATAGACTGCAATAGCATCTTTTTCTGACATTCAAGGTGTAATGCCACAATTCGTCATTGTAAGTTGCCAATTAAATAAAACCAACTAATTATCATGTAAAATTTTCGAAGATCAGTGACGGATATATTACAGCATATTCCTGAAATATGTTATCTTCTATCGACTTACCATATAATTAATGTCTTATTTTGTTTACTGTTGTTAGCGATTCATAGTAAAACTGTCCCGACTCTGTTATATATGACAGAGGAAAAGTATGGCGATCGGTCAAAAATAACCCCTCCAAGATTTTTACATTTTTGTGCTCAGAACACTTTGAAACATCGAGGAATACAAGAAAACTCGGGGAGTAATTTCTGTATGTATGGATGTTAGTGTGTGGGGGCACGATTTTGTTCACCGAATTTGAAGGTTTATAATTGCTGTGCCATTTGTCGAAAATTTCTGAAAATTTGCAGGGAGGTTTGTGTATTAGGATGATTCAAGCTAGCAAATTTTGGTAGTTAAAAGTCAAGGGGGGAGAAGGTAAAAGGGGTCGTGTGTCATTCTGTTAGTTAATTAAATAATTAAAAGTATGTTACCTTAAGTAATTAAATTAATTAATCACATTATTTTTATTTGTTTCATTGTAATTTCATTATAAACTAAGTAATAATATGAATCGTTTAACGATGAAAATAAATACACTTACCTATTATGCTTGGTGAGGAAAAGTGAATAAATGCAGTCAATCCCCTTCCAGCTCCATAACCCAAAGGAAGGTTTTTCAATCCTAAATATTCGGCAAAAAGTGCAGAGACGTTGAGTGTCAAACTACTATTAACAAATCCAAGGCATAGAACAATAACGAGCAAACCAATATAAGTAGAACAGATGGGGGTTATAGAAAACAATACTGCATCTATCAAGAAACACAAGGTGATTACTGTTTTCCTCTTCAACCATCCCGCATCGACCACTAATCCGCAACACAATCGAGCAGAAAATTCCGATATGGATATTACAGACAGAATGTAAACTGCAGTTTTCTGAGGTATACCACAATCCATTGCATAATCAACCATCACGGTTAAGAATATTATATTAGTAACGCTGTAAATAGCAACTGTTATCCATATGACATGAAACATAATGGACTGGAATACTTCGCATAAAGAATTTAAAGCAGTAAAGAATTTTGTTTTCAATGTTTTTTCTACAGGGTTTACTAAATTGTTTACTTCTTTATTTTCTTGCTTTACTTCTTTATTTTCTTGATCTTTCTCCGAAATTGAGGGAGTTTCGTAAAGAGAAACAGTCACAAATGCCTGCATGGCTATTCCAGACAATAGGAGAAAGCATCCGTGTAATCCATACTTATTTAACAAGTAAGAAGTTACTATTGGAAAAATAAATGCACCGGTAGCTGTTCCAGAATATGTTATACCTAAAGCTATTGTTCTATATTTTTTAAAGTAACGGTTAACTGTAATAATGGTGCTGAAATTTACCATACCAGATCCGAGTCCTGTTAGAGGAGAGAAGTACATTTAGAAAATAAATAGATATAAGTTAAGATATAAACAAAATTTACCTAGCAAGAATCCAAACTGTATGGATAGCATTAATATACTCGTGGCGAAATAACACCCCGCTAATCCAACCACTGTAAGTATAACACCAATAATTGCTAACTTCTTAATGCTAACAAAGTGCGAGAAGAATCCTATAAAAATTCCTAATAATAAAAACAGACATTATTATTTTTTCATTACATACAAATTGGGTAAATTAGGTAAATTTTTCTTACCTGAAAATGAACTAGTAACTTTCCTAATTGTAGGAGGCCATGCTGCATCTTCTCTCAACACATCGAAGTTTGTCCTGAAAGCAATGAAGAGGATTCCTGTCGATCTTAATATTCCGACATCAAAAACAGTAGATAAGTATGCTGCAGCTAAAAATATCCAGGCCCATCCTTTGTCGGGTGTATGAAACTTCATGATTTCAACGCTTTTTTCTTATTAGTTTTCACTTCATTTGAATGAACCAAAGCTAAGTTAACTCGTATTGATTCCACAATGTGAAACTTTCCTTTTCTATCTTGTCGTATAATTCTAATCTGTGTATAGCCAAATAGTGACGTTTTTATCAATTTGCTATCTTTTAATGATCTTAACTTATCAATGTTAAGTCTACAAGAGTAAACAGTTTAAAAAATTAAATTAATACTGTATTTACTGTTATCACTCATAATTAGTAATCTTTCCTCTGCTTACGTAAATAAAGATAGATCTTATATCTTATAATATATATATATATATATAATATATTATAATATTTGTTAATTAAAAGAAAAAAAGCGGGATAGTATTAATATCATTCATCAAGTATAAAACTTTACTCCATTGTTTGCAAATTCCTCACCATTAGAAAAGAATCCTTCACCAATTCGAATTCATTACAAATTCCAATTCATCCTCAATTCCTTTATATTGGCGAGGAATAAAAATAAACTCCAACTCCTCACCATTTCAAAAGTGTTACAAAATTAAATTCATCAGTAATTTCTTCTTATATTTAAACCAAAGTTAAGGAGGATGATAGAGAAATTTGTGAAGATTTTGTAATGGATTAAAATGAAATCCGCATGTTTTCAGTTGATAAATATGAGTAAAAAATTATCTTCAATACGTAATTTTTGCTGAATAAGACCATTGCATAATTTATTAATGTAAGTGAATAAAGATTTACGTAATAAATTAATGTATTAGATTGTAGCTGATATATCAAATTAATTGATTGATAAAATATTATTATAAATATTTATAAATACACCTCAAGGATATGTGTATAAAATAATATATAGTGTTGCTCCTAATAAAGTATACAAATCTCTCTCGCTTCTCATCTTTTTCCAACTCCTCTTCTCTTCATAACTGAGGTCAATTAAAAAGAATATAATATATGTAAAATAAGAGGACAATGTGCAACTTTATTGCTTTATAAAGCTCTTATTTCTGAGATAAAATGGCAATTTTTCTGTAAGTTTTTATTCCAATCGATGACAGGAAATTAAGGCTTGCATTGTTTACTAAAATTTTACAAAATAATATATGGGGAAGGTATTTATTCTTGTGTTAAATTGCGAAATATTGGTATCGTCATTTACTTGTTTAATTTTATGTAAATATTGCACAACGAAGTTCATAAATCAAGCTCTTTATAGGTCAAAACTTCAACGTCGAACGTTATTTAATTTTCAACTCTCTTAAAATAATTTTTTTTTATTAGAATTATTAAAATGATATCTAATAGTTCCAAATATTTAACACATTCCTCATTTTCCTATGTTTAATCGTATTTATTCATCTTTTTCTCCTTCATCTTTCTACATATTTAATCATCTTTGTTTCCCTCATTATCCTCATTTTCATTGATAAGAATAAATGCTTTTTCCTTATGATATATAAATATAAATCAAACACTAATATAATTTTCTTCTGTTTTTTACTACATTTTCTTAGACAACGTTCTAATTATATTTATATATATTTTTCCAAGGATAATTATAGTAAATTACGCTTTTTATATACGATAAACCTAAATAGATCAGCTCTGTAATTACATATTCTATATTAAACACATCAATCAATGATTCGACAACTGAAAATTATATATTATATTTTTTAAAAAATGCAGCGCTTCTAGCATTTTACACTTACATAAAACATTCTTGATCTTTATTCCAAGAAAGTGCGATGTCTCAACTATTTTCTAACACTTAAATAGGGGCCAATTTTATGTAGAAAGGCCCTTATTTCGGTGTTATATACCTAAATAGGGGTCTTTGCAGATCGCGTACATTGCTTTGCCTTATACTATCAATCCAATTAATCGGTGCCTGTTGTCTCCCCCTATGCTTTCCATATATTGTCTTGTCTTTCATATATCTATTTACGTTCTGAAGATTAAGGACAGACAGACACGACATTTCAGCCCCAAAATTAAATATTAAAAAAAGAGCACCAAATTATCATTAATTTATTAAAGACTTACATTAAGAACTCCCGCTTCTAAGCTAGTATAAATTCTCTATCACCAACATAAAATGATGTCATTAACCTCATATTTTCCTAGTTAAAGCAGTGCATATACATCTTTAAGCTCATTCTTACGTGTTTGCTTTACAACCAATTCGATTAACCGGTTATATAGTAAAAGCGGAAATCTATTATAATACTTAAAATAAACAGTAATTCTACAAAAAGTTAATATGATTTACCATACAAATCTAACGTATTCAGAAACGAACTCTGTTGAAGGTGACTACGAATTCAATTGTTATAACAATACGTAACATAAATACCGGTTATCGAATTCGTCACGTGTATCCTGTGCGTTCATTGATCCAAACAAGAACAGGATTTAAATGTTTTTTACGTTTTTTTTTATTATTAATTGTTCAGTACATTAATTTTACATTAGAAGATCGTTAAGTAGTAGCTGATAGCCGGATTATCGAACTTGCCTTTTGAAAAATTTCTTAAGTTGTACGCCGTCTGAAGGTCAAATTACTGTACATTTTGTACTAGAGCAACGTTCTTCACCTGCTGAACGGGTAAAATAGGAATAATATTTCGTGGACTGGCAGAAAGTTAATGATAAATTTCTTTACACTTAAGCATAGGGGATTCCATACACGTAGACAATACTAGTCTAGAAGTAGTTAGGTTCTGCAATACTGAACATAGCTCAATTATTCTTTAAATTTTATGCGTGAAACCCGTAAATGTATTCGTGGAATTTTGTGAATATAAATAGATTCTACAATACAAGAGAAAACTATATTTTAGCAGTATTATTTGAACTTTTATTTAAAACAATACAGCAAGCAATCTTTTCACTTGTAAAGAATAGGACCAGACACGCTCGAGGGTATTGCTACGACACCAAAAACCAAACACTTATTCCATTGACACACCTTGAGTCAGGGATAACTCAGTTGTCTCAAAATGGTGAAAACTTGAATGCACACGACTTTTTCAACGACTTTTCTTAATATGCAGAATAGGTCTCACTAGTGTGCCAATCAGAACATGACTTATAATGCATTGTCAAAGAGCGATTTAAAAAAATATTCCTCTATAAATATTAATTGACACTGATAATAATTGCAAAACTTTCAACAATACTATCATTCCTTGAAATAAAAACAACAATTGCTTCAGGATTTAAACTAAATTTATATCTTTCTCTGATTTGATGAGTAGTCATCATGGATATAATATACGATTGAATTGATGGGACAAGACAGCGAGAAACTTGGGTGATCTGCCAGGATGGAGTTACCTCCCAAGAGGATTTCTACAAGAAATTGGCCTTTAGTTAGGTGATAGACACGTAAAAAAAGCTGACAAAACCTCACGTGGTTAGCTGCATCGTCAAGGACAAACACGTGAATTTATTAACATTGTTTAGTTTATTTGATAACACTGAATATCCAGTAATGATTATAAATATAGAGTATTTCTTATAATCTTGTAATTTCCTCTTTTTTAAATCTCGTAATGAGAGGTTCTATTAGCCACAAAAATGTTGGAAGTAAACATACTCCTGCAAAGTAGAAAAACATCACTTCGTAACTTCCTTTAGTATCTCGGAAATAACCTAAAAATAAACCACATTTAATTAATTAATTAATTAATATGGAAAACAGTATTTTGATTATCTTTGTTTGTTCTTAAATTGTAAGGAATCGATTTCTATGTATGAAAACTAAAACGGCTCCACGAACTAATTAGATCATAAAACAGGGTTCTACTATAATAATAAAACAGGGCAGGCAAAGAGTTTGTAAAACTTTAAATATTCATACAAAGTAAAAATTGTTAGAATGAAGTGCGGTTTGCATGGTAAGTATTGTCAGCATGAGGGATTTTTGTTGACAAAGGGAAAAATTAGCTCCAAAATCACCGATAAGTAGTAATGATATACAGAAGAAAATCAAACGACAATAATGAAATCCAATATGTTCATTAGACAAGTGTTCGACATGGCTTATAACACAATTGAGCAGAGTAACAATGCCTGAGCCAGCAAAGTGTAACAAGTCCGGATGGATGGTTCATGGCTAATACCGTTTTTCAATTCCAACCATGTGGAACTTTCTGATAGAAACTGTCGGAAATTTAAATATTCTGCAATCAGAAATCACATTGAAAGTCATTTTCATTGTAGTTTGAACGTCTATTCGTTGTATTTTTGTATGTCAACGTCTTTATCAATGATTTTTAAAGTAATTTTTGTCTCGTCGACAAAAAATTCTGGTGCTGACAATACTTTCATTTTTTTTATAAATGTTTAAAGTTTTACTAACTTTCCCCCCACCCTGTATATATTTATTATACAAAACATAATTATATAACATATTAGTATGTGCAGGGCTTTGGAGCAAAGCAACCCAAAAAAATGGTCGCTCCAAAGCCTATATCCTACATAGACCCTACTATAGATTTACGTGAACGATAGCAGTAGTTAATATGAAATAAGCTCGCTATTAATATTCATTTTCTTTATAATATAAGAAATGACAATTAGTTAACCTCTGACTTTATGTATTGCATCTACAAATAAGGATGATGAGAATAAAATGATACTATCGATTACAAATAAATTTCTGCAATATTGCATGAATATGCTAATATATAGACTATGGTTAATGAATGTGTTGGCTAAAGTTTATTATTGGAGAATAAATAAAATAAAGTTGTTCTTAATACGATAAGTTGATTGTATAACACGTCACAATATATCTAAAACTAAACTACAAAATTTGTATACAGAATATTAAATTTTGCGTACTGAAATTTAAACGTAACTTACCAATAATACTTGGCGAAGCGAAATGAAGGAAACCATTCAAAGCCTTTCCTGTTCCTACTCCTAAAGGAAGATTCTTTAATCCTAAATAATCTGTGTAAAGAGCGGAAACATTAATGTTCAAACAACTAGCTGCAAAACCGAGGCATAGTGAAGTAACAAGAAGACCAGAGTACGTGTTCCACATGGGTATCGTCGCGTACATAACCGTTTTTACCAAAAAAACCAATGATACAAGTGTTCTCCTTTTCATCCATCCGAAATCTATTATCCATCCGCAACCCAATCGGCCACAAAATTCCGCTATAGAAATCGAAGATAGTATATAGATTGCAGTGTGTTTAGGTACACCACAGTCTAATGCAAAATCCACTAATATAGTTAAATAAATAAGATGAGTTACGCTACATATAGCCACAGTTAACCAGATTAAATGGAACATTGCAGTGCGGAATAATCCGAAAAATGATTGCACAACTTCAGATAAATTTGCGCGTTGGTCCTCCTTTGAAGAATTTTCTGTTGAATCTTGCTGCAAAGGAGGATTTTTATAGAGCGTTACGGCTATTAAAGCTTGCATCAGTACACCAGATAGCAGCAGAAAGCATCCTTGTAAATCATATTCATCGAGTAGATAAGCAGTTAACACCGGATACATAAATCCACCCGTAGTTGACCCAGAGTATAAGATTCCTAAAGCTATGGTTCTGTATTTGTTAAAGTAACGATTTACCATAACAACATTTGTGGAACTCAACATACCAGAACCTAAACCTACAAGAAATGAAAACAATTAAATTGTGCATGAATAATTTTATAAAAGAAGAAAATAATTATACCTAGCAGAAATCCAAACTGTATTGAAATTACTATAATATTGGAAGCGAAATAACATCCCGCAAGACCGATTGCTGCAATGGTAACTCCAGCAATTGCTAATGTCTTTAAATTGATAAAATGTGAAAGGAAACCAACAAGTAACCCTAAAAGATAAGTGGTACAATTACAATGGAAGATTAAACGCTTGGAAACGTGTTTGCACTTACCAGCGAAACATCCAGTAAATTTTCTTATTGTCAAAGGCCAAGCTGCTTGTTCTCTTAATATTTCAAACTTTGTTCTGAATGCCAAAAATAGAATACCCGATGATCTAAGTATTCCTACTCCAAAAAGTGCGCATAGAGCCGAAGAAATTAAAAAAATCCACGCCCATCCTTTATCCGGTGTACGTAATTTCATCTTCTAAATAATGAAAATATTTAATAAATTCACCTAAATATTTTAAGTAACAGTTATTTTCATAAGTAATGGAATTGCAGGTTGTAATGCAAATAGCCTGTCAACAAGTCAAAATGCAATGTCACAGCTCTGTTTATAACGTGATATTTATTATTTATTCGTTTATTTCTCTCACGTCACCTCAAATTATTCGAAGAAAAATGGTATTACTAGTTAATTTGCTCCCTGAACACTAAAAATCATTAATAATTTTTAATTTTTTACTCGTTCTGTCGGACTTATATTCACTTCTGTAAGTAACTTTATATAATTGAAAAAGGTTAATTATATTTAAAATTCTAATAAGAGTTGTCTTTAGAATTATGACTGTTATTTCCGGTTTACGACCCATAAGAGTTTATCACGCCGAATTCCCAAGCTAACACATTAAAAAACTTTTTGTGTTTTAAATTGTGCACAGTGCAGGAATAAAAATCTTTTAAGTAACTTTCAAAATTCTGAAACAGTACAAGGAAAAATAGGCTCCATGTTATTTACTAAACTGGCATATGTGTCTGTTGAATTTCAATGGATTCTTATTTCACATATACACGTGTGAAGTGCCTTTGTTTTGAAGTTTCGTTATTAGGTTTTCAATTATTGAACTTGAAAATAAAAAAGGTTTAGAATGACAACAAAAATGATGTCATACTTTCACGTGTCTAACATTTAACAGAGCAGTTTCTATATAAAGTCCTTCCAGGGGAACTTTCTTTGTTGCTTTGCTTTATTTCACCAATCCAATCCCTACCGTACTATCATATTTTTCCAATATGATAAAATGCAACCCTCTGTTTGTATCACGAGGCTATGATTTAACCTGTATGCCTTTTCAATCTCAATATGATTTATAAGTGTAATGAATTGAGTTCTAAAGTAAAAAATTAATTATAATTAGAAAACAGTTAGGAATCATTTATTGTCAGTTCAGTAGGCTCGTTCCATTGGCACTTAAAAAAATCAATTTTTCGAAAATCAATGGGATAGGATTCTTCTCTGTCGACCATTTTTGTTGCAATCGTAAAACTGCGTATCAACTGCCCTATGTAATATTTCAGAAAAAATTTGGGCAATGTGTCTCACTGTACTCAAGGGTCTATATAAGAAGGTCAGGCAGGACACGATCCCGCGATTTTCTTGGCAGCGGCCATCTTCGAACTCATCGATAGAGTTCATTCCATACGTAGTTCTTGTGTGAGTCGATTATATTATGTATATAAGTATTCAGAACGTTAAAGAATGGGTTATTGTATGGCACCAAATTGTAAGAGTAAATATACAGATGTTCGATTATTTAAATTTCCTTCAGATAATCAGAGGAAAGCAAAATGGGTGCAGAACTGCAGACGGAATAAGTGGCAGCCACCTGTGTAAGGTTAGTGTATATCATGTATTTTTCTATGGGTACTGTCTTTGAGATGTATACGTGATCTTACATTAAATTATTTATTGTTCATGTTCATTTCGAAGAATCTCAATTTGAACTGAGACGAGCTGATGGAAGGAAACTCAAATGGAATGCTATTCCCACACTTTTCAATATGCCCAATTATGCTAAATATATTACGAGGAAAAGGAATACTATTAGGGAAAGAAAACTTCTTGAAGAAAATGAATCTGAATTCTGATGTTTGAGTGGAAAACTGACTATAATTTTATGTAATGAAAACAATAAAGAAATCATATATTCTTAAGCTTAGAAAACATTAAATAATGTTACTGTTATCTTTTATATGTTCAACTTTAGCTGTATAAGATTTCAAAGATACAACCAGTCGACCCCCCTATAACACTGTTGATAATTCCGTTTTATATGAATTCCATGTTGTACGAGTCACAGATTTTACAAATACATGTGCTGGGCTGTGAACGGCTCACGTATTTGTAAAATCTAAGTGACTCGTACAACATGGAATTCATATAAAACGGAATAATCAACAGTGTTATAGGGGGTTGACTGTTATATACAATGTGTTTTTTAATATTGTATTGGTAAATGATTTAAAATAACATTTTAGATAAATTCATTGTATATTCTTTATTATATTTTAAATTTTCTTTCATGTTATTGCATCACTTTAGGAAGTGTCTATACACGTAATCAGTTTTAGAACCTATTTAATTAGTTTCAATCACGACAGCAAATGATATGCATGCTTGTTTGTTTTAAACTATTTGGTAGAAAAGTTACATAAAATTTGGGTTGCATAATCATCCAAAATTATTATTATATTTTTGACTAAAAATAACTGGATTAATGCAATTTTAGTTTAAATAATGTATAAAACTGACTGCTCGTACAAGTTTGTTTAAAACAAGCCCAAAATGGCGGCTCCAGGAGTAGGTCCCGTGTGTCCTGACCTATTTATATAGACCTTGACCATACTGGCCTTCAGCTCCCACACGGAGTGAGTATGCTTCCGATAAATACGAAATTTCAAATACCCCAAACGTATTCGACAGAACAGCGCCACATTTTTACCTGGTGATAAAAATTTCAATTAAATTTTCCCCCATAAAAATCTTTCCATAATCGCATTGCATGAGTACTGAGGAGATTCAGAAGAGCAGGTTTTAACTATGTCTGACTACAGCCCAGTTTAATTCTAACCACTTTGTACCGTAAAATGTATAGTACACCGCTACTAATTCTATTTTTTTTTTTTTTTTAACCGTTACTGTTAACCGAGTTTATATTGTATATAAATTTTTAAATTATAATTATCAAATAAAAGACAGATTCCTTTTTCAGGTTTTAAACCAATAACTACAAAGCAATAAGGAAGGATGCAGGGTTTTATTTATTGTTGAATATAAAGATAATAATTAAAATATCATTAAATAAATATGGTGTTCTTTGGCAACTATTATTTAAATTTATCTCTTTGTTCTGTGTTTTTGATTCGTAATAATCATAAAATTCTCTTGCAAATTCCAGGAATATATTAAGCTGATATTTGATATTTTTAAAACGATAAATGTAAGCGTGACTGGATACTTTTCTTAAGTGTTTTCGATGGAAATTTTAACAATTCATCCATTAGCGGAAAGTGGGACAATTCTAGACACCAGATAAAACCAGACATGAAATATTGTAAAAAATAAAAGGTTGGCAGCACTTTCGTGGTACTTTATAATTACTGTCAGCCGCGTAGTGTTGACGTATGAAATTATTCTCGGTGTGTTTGTCTATGTATTGTGCAGCTAAAAACACGTTCTTTTGAAATATTTTACTCTTTATTTTTGGTAGTATTTCTTTACCAAATAATTAAAATTTATACCTTTTCCAATGATGATTTGGGACAATTTGTGATATTTTTAGGGCAAAGACAATTGTCTCCGGGATCAATTTATGGTATATTTACTCAGTTTTTCATAACACTCTACAATTTTACCTTTGTAAAGATCAGATCCAACCATAGCAACCTAAAATTATTAATTAATTGCATTACAAGCAAACATTTATTGTGACATCGTCACAATGCCGGGTTGCAATTTTTAATTATATTTTTAAATTTATTTAATTTTAAATACAGTATAACCTCTCCACCTTCAAATTAATAGTGTCTTACCCCTGTACATCATACTTTTCCTGTTAGCAATAGAGTTCTGTAGGTCATGTATCTAACTTCTTTCAGGGTAATACTTGAATTGAAATAATGTAGCTTTCGGTTATACCCAGAGGTTTTTATACAGTTAATCGGAGCCGTCTTCATTTTCCCTTTTCAGATCTGTTTTCGGAGTTTAGATATCTAACTTTGTTCTCAAGATTAAGGAATGACAGTCGGACAAACGAATCGCAGTAAGAATTTATAGGTCTACAATTTTCTCAAATTGCAGCGAATTATTCTTTCAAATTTATTAAAATTACACATTTAAAGAATAGTTATAACAGTATATATATATATATATATATATATATACACATATACTGTATGTACATGTTTTTTGTGTTGCGCTACATGATAAAGCAATAAATTTTTTCCTATTTATATATGATTAATTGCTTTTATCAATGTATAATATTTATATAAAACCGTTATAAATGTAGTAAAAGCAATTATTATTGATTTAATTGTATACTTAATGAAGTAATATAAAAATGAAGGATATAAAAAAATAAAAATCCTACAACGATTTGCGTAACACTACAGGCAAAATATTATCTGTTATGAGATTTTTAAAACAATTTTTATAGTATTAATTATTACAAAATGTTAAAAAGCTTAATTTTGTGGGTAGAGATGCGTTTTATAAAAAAATTGTACGTGTTAATAACCAGTATAATCTTCATTGTGTCCGACTTCCACTCGTGATACTACACACGATCCCTTATATCTCCTCCCCTCTTTCAGCTTTAATCACCAAAATTTAACAGCATCAACCCCTCTAACACAGAAACCTTCATGCAAAATTTAAGAAGATTTTGACAAAATGCACGGGAGTTATTAAACTTTAAATTGAGTGAACAAAATCGTGCCCCCACATACACACACAGGAAAAAAACACCATTAATTTCACTCAGAATATTGCGAGCGTTAGCCTATTATTTGATTTATACGAGTGTATAAACAGGTTAAATAAGAAATAAATGAATTGTTATCTGTATACAAAACACACACAATTAATAAATTGAGAATAACAAAAGTTTTTAAAATATATATCTAACACGAATATATGAATCATCTGTTAAGAAAGCATACTCTACTATTATTTATGATTTCCGTTTGGAGTTAAAAATGTAAATTATACTCAAAAATAATGACGAAGACATAAAGATAATTTATTCTATTATTAGGAAAGATGAGTTTTAGGAAAGATGAGTTTTAATTCAATGTGTTTTGTAATATATTTTATCTAGAAAGTTGAATAAAGTTTTGGTTCGCTTGTATAATTTTAATAATTATTATTATTTTTTAAATTCTATTTTAAGTAAAAAAACTAATGTCACTATTGACTTATGATTACCACCCCAAATCACAATAATACAAAACAGAACT